TAACGTATAACAATAAATTACAAAAAGAGAAAATTAGATTGAGAATCTAGTAAAAAAATGTCCACTAAAATTAGCAGTAGTTTTCTTGTTTTACTCGACAAGTGGACATTATGTTTGATATTTATTTCCTTGTTTGAATAAATAAGCATGGAAACAAATATATTAACATTATTACTGCTATCTTTCATGGACCATATATGTACCTAGATATGGACCATAAATTAACAGTAATTAATTGTTGCGAAAAAGGAAAATTAGTTGAAAATCTAGGTACATATATGGTCCATAAAAGATAGCAGTAATGTTAATATATTTGTTTCCATGCTTATTACTCCTTTTCGAAATGAATTTGAATATAGGGAAAATCATTTGTCGTATTAACGTTAGAGAAAAGTAATTATTTCAAAAAAGAGAAAATTTAAAATCTACTAATTTTGTCTATGAAAATTAGCACTAATTTATTTTATTTTAAACTCGTCAAGTGGATTTTTTTTCTTTTTGTATTTAATTGTTTTCCATGTTTATTATAACAAAACAATGAATCTGAACATCGAACAAATAATTTGTCGTATTACGGTGGTGAGACAAAATGTAATAATAAATACTATAAAGGTTAATTATTTAATAAGCGTTTATGATATCTTACATTATAAAGAGTCGAAAAAGACGCCTCCTCGGTCCTCACCCTCGTCACGTCAGTGTCTTTTTCAGTAGAAGCTCTATAAAGTTTTTTTGTCGTTTTCTATTGTGTCGTTTCCAATGGTCCAAAACGGCATACATTTTAGTGCCTCCATAACAAACACACAATAATTTTTTCTTTCCCATTTTTATTGCAGCATGTCAATTTCTGCAGTATCGTTTATGGTATCCGTTGGATTCAACGCAGCTGCAAGGTTTGTAACAATTTGTTTTACCCTTTCTAAACATTATTTACTCCTTAGTTTCTTGTGGTTACTAATAATGTTTATTTTCTTTGCTTCAATTTTATTTACAGTGTGAGAGTAAGCAATGAATTAGGAGCCGGGAACCCGAGGGCTGCTGCATTTTCCACGGCAGTCACAACGGGAGTATCGTTTTTACTAGCGGTTTTCGAAGCCATTGTGCTTTTATCGTGGCGACATGTCATCAGTTACGCGTTTACTGATAGTCCTGCAGTGGCCGAGGCCGTTGCGGATTTATCTCCCTATTTAGCCGTCACTATTATCCTCAACGGAATTCAGCCTGTTTTGTCCGGTAAAATAAAACCCTTACATTTTTACATAAAAACAAAAAATTAGCTGATTTTTTATACTTTTGATTAGTAGTATTAATTTAAAAAAAAAAAAAAATTGAATTCTTGTACAAATATTTAGGTGTGGCGGTTGGATGTGGATGGCAAGCATTTGTGGCGTACGTTAACATTGGATGTTACTATGTTGTGGGGATTCCAGTTGGTTTCGTCCTTGGTTTCACTTATGATATGGGAGCTAAGGTAAAAAACAAAATTTTAATTTTTCATTTTTGGTATATACGTAAATGTACATATTAAATGTAAGTAATAAATTTATGTCTATGATTGGTGTAGGGAATATGGACAGGGATGATTGGTGGTACATTGATGCAAACAATAATCTTAGTGATTGTCACAATCCGAACTGATTGGGATAAAGAGGTATCTAAGGAAATAATTTGTTTAATGATTGATAATGTGTAAAGTCTTAGGCAGAGATTTTGGTATGATTTTGGATAAGATATGGTGAAATTTGATTCAGTGAATTAATTTAATTTTTGTAATGTAGGTGGAAAAAGCTTCGAGCCGATTGGACCAGTGGGAAGAGAGTCGTGAGCCACTTCTGAAGCAATAAAGGAATTGATTCAACATTTTTTTATAAAAGATTTTGGGAACTTTCGAGGTCAAATTGAAATCAATTTTTTTTTTGTTTGCTTTCCCGAAATTGGTGGTAAAGGTATCATATGGAAGATGTAAGTTCAATTGATAAACACTCGTTTTTCAATCGAAAAATGTATGTCTTTTTGTTGATTAAGGACTCATTAATTTGAGTTTTTTTCTTGAGTGTTGAGCGAGTTAAATAAATTTAAGTGTTAACCAGAGAATTGGACTTTTTTGTAAGTATGCAATAAATGAATATTCCTTTTTATCATAGAGATCGAGGATGTTAGGGGTTGTAGAAGTCTAATTCAACTCCATTGGATTGAAAGCAGATCAGATTTTAAACGTTTGGATTCAGTTGAAATGATTCATTATTGATTTTACAATCTAAAGTTGAAGATTTATTTTTACTTTCAAAATCTTTAGTGACAAAGTATATATGATATCATTTGGTTTTTAGAATAAATTTGATCCAAACAAAAACTAAAAACTTTTAATAATATAGAAAGTAAAATAAAATTCAACGTAGGAAAATAAAACTAAGAAATAAAATCATGTAGAAATAGCAATTTAGAGAAATAAAAACACTAAAGAGATTAAAAAAGAAAAATACAAACCACATTCATTCCATAATGGTTTGAAACCACCCTAGTCTTTCATCCACCAACATACTCATGAAAATATCTTGTATTTCCAATTGGTAAATTTTTGTAAGTGCTTTGTTACGAATACTTTCCAAATCTGAAATGTCTTTTATGGCATTCAAAACATTAATTTTCTTTTGTCCCACTTTTTTTTGTTGTCTTTTTTTCTCTTTGTTGTATTAGATTCAAACATATAAAAAATTGACGTCGACGATGCATCAAACGTTCTTGTATAAAATAAAGAGAGTTCACCTTGGAATTCATCAAACGTTCTTAAAAAAAAAAAATAGAGATGGAGAAATACAGATCTGAAAAGATTATAAGCAAAAGATGTAGGTGTATCAGTTAGCTGGAATACATATATGTACGAGACTTGAGTTGGATTTTGAAATCTCAAGGTAAGAGGTTTGATTTTCATTGTTATAATTTACCTATAAAAAATAATTCCAAATCCACTCAAACTCTTTTCATTATAAGCAATTGTGAGAATCTATAAAACGTGAATAACACGATCTTAATTGAATAACAATACTCTTTCAGTATCATAATAACTGATTTTTTAGAGACTTTTTTTTGTACCAAATTAGTTGATGTTTTCATTTTCCTAGATAATTTTTTTTTTTTTTTGCTTTTGTGACTATTTAAATTCTGCAGTACTTTATGTGTTTGGTTGAATTAATTTTTAAAAAATAATAAATGATTGTTTAATGTAAAAAATATATAAAAAATACATTATCTATTGGATTTTTTAATCTGTGTGCAACATTCTTAAACATCATCTAAAATGATACATAGGGAGTAGATTTCAAACTTTCTTAAAAAAGAGA